AGTAATCGGAGGCTGATCTCGAGTCACACGTCATGGAAGTGTGGTATGCAGAACTAGCAGATGAAAGGGGACTGCTGGATGCAACTCCACTGGGGGACCTTTTCGCGATACCCGCGCAGATGGTTCCAGACCGTAGTGTGCTGATCACTGTAGCTGAAGAACAGCGGGGACACCATCTAATACAAACTTGTGCCAAGCATGTGACTCGCTAGCGCATTGCATTACAGCGTCTTCAATGGAAGAATGCGTCACGATAGCGTCATGTAAACACTTCGCCCATTCACGCTTGGGCCTGCCTACAGCTCTGGCGCATGCGGACTGGACTCCGACGAAAATGGGCAATCTGTAGAACTCTGCTTTACGACAGAAATGTCAAATATAGTCCTGTCCGAACAACAGCACTTGATGTTAGATGCCGACCGTGCGACCGCTATGCGAGTATACGTTACCGCCGCTGCAAAACGAGCTGTGGTCGTCAAGGAAGGCGACCTTCTCGCGAAGGCTGACATCCAGGCGAATCTCAAGAAAGTATCGAAGGCCCTCTAGACCGAACACAAGACATGGTTTGACAACAAGTGTTTCAAAATGCAAGACATATCTAAAACGTCAAACACTATGACTTCGAGATATGTGCACACATTGAAGTTTTTGAAGAACGAGAAGGGCGAGATGGAACGTGCCATCAGATGACGCCTGGTGCTTCGAGGCTTCATGGACCTTGAAGCCTTCGACGCGGAAGCCTTTTCGGGAACGGCGCGGCGGTCAAGCCAGAGACTACTCGCGAGCACGGCAGCGTGCAAGAAGCAATGGGTCATTGCTTCCCTCGACATCAACATGGCCTTCCTGGAAGGGTTGACCCACCAGGAGCTTGCCGAGGCAACATGTGAAAAAGGAACGTGTGACGTGTTTTATTTTGCCGCCTGGATCGGCCACGGTGCTTCGGACTCTCCCAGGATTCGAAATCTGCGACGAGTCAAGCACAGCTTGCAGTGCCTTAAACCAAACACTGGCACCAAAGACGCACCCCGAGCTTTCTCACTAAAGCTCAGAAGGACCACCACAGGTTTTGATCTCCGACCCACGTCCTACGACGAGGAGTTCGAGACGAGCAGCAACCTGCTTGCGGCCAAACATGTTGATGATATCAATCTGGCCAGTACTGAGGGCACCACTGACATGTGTGTCATGTGCGTAGAGGACACCTTTGGTAAGTGTAAACTCAACAAGCACACATGCACCAGTTGTGCTGTGAGAGATACCAAGGATGAGGACGGCAATGTTACTTTGGACCAAGACGAATACATCAAGCAGCTCCGTCCTATACAACATCCTGAACTTATCGGCGCCGGCGCTGACGCTCAGGCATCCAAGATGGTTGCAGACATGTTCGTCAGCCTCAGAGGCGCGCTGGCGTATGCACGAATCACCCAGGTGTGGTTCATGGTGTGTGTTGTATTTCTACAACGTGTCCAAGAACCGACCAATCGACTGAACGCGATCACCAGGAAACTGCGGGCCTGTCCCAAGAAGATCGTCTATCGGGCGATGACCCCTACGTGCGAGGCCAACCTGCACAGCGACTCAGGTTACCGACGCCTGAGTGGAGACGCCGATGGCGACGTCAAGGGCTATGGTATTCGCGGGGCAAACCTGCTACGGCGTGGAAACACACCATCTGGTAAGCCCTTCGTCCACTTGATCGACTCTTACTGCAAGTCTCACCGCTTGCGAGTCCGTTCGAGCTATTCAGCAGAGACACTAGCAGCTGCCCATAATTTGGAGGACTGTTACCCCGTGATCGTGTCTCTGCGCGAGCTCCACGCAGGGCCGCTCACTCCTACTCAGTTGAAAGACATACTTGAGTTGGGTTGCCTGATCATCAAGGTCACTTAAACCATTGATGCTGAGTCTGGTTTTAAATCCTTGTGAAGCAAATGGATACGTGCGATGATACGACATATTATACGACAGATACGACAGATGATGGAGCGTGGAATCGTGCGCAGTATTCAGTGGTGCGACACCCGCGATATGATTGCGGACGGTCTCACCAAGGGGAGCAGCGACAGAGAACTGCTCCTACAGGTCATGGGAGGTATACAATCCTTCAAACATGATTTAAAGAGTCACACTCCCAATCGGGCTGGCCAGACATCCTGTTCTGTGGCCGCCTGAGGAGTATCTTTCTGTACAGAATAGTACAGGCAAGGCAACTTGCGTGCGGGTCCACCTTCCTTGCGGCCCGGCCCTTTTGCTGCCCTTTTGTAGATCGTAGCTGCTGTGCTTGCTGTATCGGGGCGGCGGACTCACGCTTCGTTTCCCTCCCCCCCGATTCTAAAGTGAGCTGGGGACAGGGGTCGGAAGCGAACGTGTGCCCGCGGCCGCGTGGCTCAAGCGGCCGGCCGTCCAGACCTAACCACACTTCATCGCGAGGTGTACTACTTGCCACCAAAACCAAAATATTGCTTGAGATGGCTCGCCCCCTAATACTGGGACTATCGTTGCTACGGTACAACAGAGCGGGAGCTGGGCTTCGGCTAAGGCGAAGCTGTTGGTTGGGTCTCCCAACCCCATTCAAACTCGAAGGGCACCTGGAACCGTGTTGGGGCTGTCTTGGGGCCTCTTGGAGGTATGTAGGAGGCTGTATTGAACCATCTTCGGTTATCTTGAGCCATCTTGGAGGCCGTCTTGGGCTGCCGAAGGCCCTCTTGGAGCCATCTTGGGCCCAGATTGAAGCTCGAACTGCTCGCCCCCCCCGTCCCAGGCCCAGGGTAGCGGGGTAGGGGAAGGGGTCGAGACACCCTCCCCGCCCGCAAACTGTCTCGTTCATCTTACCCGCCCCCCCAACATATAAATAACACCCGAGCCTCAGTGTGTTCCGCGGTCGTCTGGTGATGGGCAGCCAGTGGGAACCAAAACAGACCCCATGTGCGCAACGGTGGGGCAAGGTACGCCACGCGTGCCAGGCGCGCCACGCGCCTCAGGTGCGTCAGGCATCCCTTTGGCTCAAGCGTGCCATGCGCGCCTGGTGCGCCAGATGCGCCACGTGATCCATGTGCGCCATGTGTGTCGCATGCTCCAGCCGCGCCAGGTGCGCCACGTCCGGGGCACGCGCAGAGTGTGCCAGGTGCGTCTGCGCACGTGGCAGTACACATCGGGAAACGTGTCGACCCCCACCATCCTTGTCGAAAACAGGCGCGCAATCGCGGCGGGGTGGTCATAGTGTCGGATGGGCCTGCGCACATGAGGCAACCTGCCAGCACCCCCGCCGTCGCAGTCAAACAGCAATGCACAGTGATCGCGGGATGCCCGCGCATGATTCAGATTTTGTCTCGAAGTAGATTTTGCACTGTTCCCAACCATCTTGTGGTGTTGGGTCCTCGTTTTGAAGGGACAGTCGCCGCGTCTCCTGCTCTCCTCGCCTCCTACTCCTCCTCTTCTTCCTCCTCTTCCTCCTCCTCCTCCTCCTCCTTCTCCTCCTCCTCCTCCTCCTCCTCCCCCTCCTCCCTCTTCCCGTCAATTCCTTCACTTTGGCACACCCCTCAGACGCTTCGTGGCCCCATACGGAGTGGGAGTTCCACCGAAGGCCCCAATGGCATGGTTCGCATGCCGCCCCCCTCCACTTTGGCATCTGCCTCGCGCGTTTCGTGGCCCCATGGGGAGCTCCACCGAAAGCCCCAGTGGGATGGTTCGCATGCCGCACACCTCCACTTTGGCACACCCCTCACACGTTTCGTGGTCCCATAGGGAGCTCCACCGAAAGCGCCCAGTGGCATGGTTCGCATGCCGCCCCATCTACGTTGGCACACCCCTCACACGTGCCCCACCGAATTCACCCGTGGCGGTGTCCGCACGCGTTTCCCCCACCCAGTACAGCGCTTCGTGGCCCTATCAGGAGCTGCGTTGGAGCCCCAGTGACAGTGTCCGCGTGCGTTTCCCCTACCCAGTACACTGTTTCGTGGCCCCATAGTGAGCTCCACCGAATTCACCCGTGGCGGTGTCCGCATGCGTTTCCCCCCCCACCCAGTACAACGTTTCGCCTCGTAGGGAGCTCCACCGAAGGCCCCAGTGGAGGTTTTTGCAAACGTTTCCTCACCCATTGCAGCGCTTCGTGGCCCCATAGGGAGGAGCTCTACCGAGGGTCTCGGTGGCGGTGTTCGCATGCGTCCCCTCCACCCAGTACAAGGCTTCGTGGCCCCATAGGGAGCTCCATCGAAGGTCCCAATGGCTACGTCTGCATGCGTTTCCCCCAATCAGCACAGCGTTTCGTGGCCCCACAGGCAGCTCGACCGAAGGTCCCAGTGGCGACGTTCGCATGGTGGCCCTGCTCCATTTCGGCACACCCCTCACACGTTTCGTGTCCTATAGGGAGCGCCACCGAAGGCCCCAATGGCTACGCCCGCATGCGTTCCCGCCCCAGTTCAGCACACCCTTTACACGCTTCGTGGCCACATCAAAAGATCCACAGAAGGCGATACCCACAGCGCCACAACGGCGATACTCACAACTGTATATGGTTGGGCCCTTCGCCAGGGTAATTTTTTGACAGGGATGCTGGCCCTGCGCGCAGCAGGCAATATGCTCGCATTCCCGCCGTCCCTGTCAACAAGCAAGACAAAGTGCTCACGCCCCCACGATCATGACCCAAGATTTTGCCCCCAAGCGGAGTCCACATTGTTTTTTGGCATGGGTGGTGTGGGGGGGAGTCATCATTGGTCCTGGTTGGCTGCCGGTCGCCGGGGGGAGGGGGTGATTATTCATAGGGAGCAATGATAAGCCCTTACCTCGAGCAGGGGAAGAAGGGGGAGAGAAGGCAAAACTCGTGAAATTACTCACGCCCTAAATGGCTGGTGGTATTCATTAGGTCGAGACTCATGAAGACTGCCTGGGAGATGGAGGAACCAGTTGCAGACGTCCGAGGATCGAGGGCGGCGCAACGAAAGCACCAGAGGGGCATGCCGTGGACTGACCCAGATCGAGGGCGGGGGGGCGCCTCGGAGGTGATGAACTTGTACGTGCTCTTCAGCGGCGACGACCCCGTGCTGTTCGCGGACCGGCTTCAGAAGGCCATCCAGAACCGCAAGTACGCCAACAGCCTCCTGAAGTACCACTTCTTCATCGACAGCATGCCGGAGGAGGGTGCACGCGAGGGGCTTCCTGATGCACCTTCCTCTCCTCCGCTCCGCTCCCCCTCTCTGCTCCCTCGTCCCTGTCCTGCGAATCGGACGAGCGGGGGGGGATTGGGAAAAGGTGGGCTACGAACTCTGCCCTGTGCTCGCCGGCGGGCAGGTTCTTCGATGCACGGGCTCCTCTGGCGCTGGGAGGCGCTGGGGAAAGCAGCTGCTTTGCTCACCCGCATCTGCTACACCCCCCTTTCGCACGACCCGAGTCCGCCCCTCTCTCCTCCCTCCTCCCCTTTCCCCCTCCCGGAGGACCGCTCGCGGCGGATTGGCCGCGAGTCCGTGGTGCGCATCGCGAACATGGCCCGCGTGGGCATGTGGGACAACGACAGCGAGTTCGCAGACAAGCTGGACATCCCCTGAGGTTTTCAAGCGGTTTCTGGAGGTTTCCGAGGGTCTCTGGGATTTTGGGGGCGCCAGCTGTCCGCCTGCACCCATCCTGGCCGGCATCATCCTGGGGCGCAGTGTCGGTGGCTGCGCGTTGGTGGTCAGGGCCAGGAGGGTGTGTCCACCGATCCTGGGCCCAAGATGGATGGGCCTCGCTGGGATCGGTGCTGGTGAATAAACTGCGTCCTGCCAGGACATGGCGCTGGAGGGGCTCGTCGCTGACGTTCAGAAGGACATCGAGGAGGAGGAGGAGGAGGAGGAGGAGGAGGAGGAGGAGGAGGAGGGAACAGGGAGCACGGAGTAGGGAGGAGGGACGAGTAGGAGGAGAACTAAAGGAAAAGGAGGAGGAGGAGGAGGAGGAGGAGGAGGAGGAGGAGGAGGAGGACGGATGCTGAAAAGGAGGGGGAGGATGGAGGGGGTGGAGGGGGTGGAGGGAGGAGGAAGAGGGAGGAAACATCAGGCGAAGGAGGACCAGAGTAGAGCGTTTGTGCATCAGTCATGCTGCTGTGCACCCTGACGTCCCAAGGCACCTCATCAGAAGTCCATACCACAATTCTTTGTCATTGGCGGAGGCTGCACCTTGCAGAGTGATAACCCCATGGGCCTGTCATTCAAGCGATAACCCCGTTTTGAAATTGAGCCACCCATCATCTTTCTAGCTACAACACGCTCAGCGAGGAATGACCATACAGTTCGAAGATAAGTCCAGCGAACGCCCCGTTTTGAAAGATATATCGCCGTACATCCATGTGACTGTTGCGCACTTAACTGGTCGATCGATTAATAAGCAGTGAGGAAGTATTAAGCGAAAGCTCCCATTTGAAAAGGGGCCGTCCTCTATCCGCGTAGCTGTAGCACGCATTTTCAGTTCTGGTCGTACAGGGACGTGAGCGAGAGCCCAATGGTGGTGGAAGCCCACGGCGGCGGGTTGGGGCCGCGAGGCACGCAGGGCTTTCGGGGTCCTGGCCAAGCGGGTGGCTGACGCTACCGGGGAAGACGCCGCTGTGGTAGCGGACAAACACGCCCAGCGACTCTCGATCTCCTTGCATAGGGAGAACGCGCGGGCGGTGTTGCGGCGCCTCCAGACGCAGTCTGGAGGGGCGGGGGTGGCCGCGGCTCGTTTGGCCGCGGCCACGGCGGCCTCCGCGGTCGACGCCGTGTGAGGCTTTCCCGGCGCTGCGTAGCGCCCCCCTCCCACCCCCCTTACTTTTGCTGGGCGGCACGAATCCCCCCCCCCCCCCCCGCGCCCCTCCGCCGGCCGTCCCTTCCTCGGCGTGGCGGTGGATGGATCCCGCAGAGGGCAGTCCTCACCAAGCCGCAGCGTGCTGGGCTCGGCCTGAAACCCCACAGCGATCCCGACGCCCTTCCCGACGCCTGTCCCGACGCCCTGCCCCGCGCCCTACCCTGTGCCCTGCCCTTCTCCCTGCCCGCCTCCAGCACGACGGACCCGACGATGAACCCGACAACCGCCACCCGCGCCAGCACTAGCGTCGCCGCCGTAGTGGCCATAGCCTCGTCGCGGGTGGCCCTTCTCTCCCGGCCCCTGTTCTGGCCTGTCTGCTTGCGGTTGCTCTCCTCTCCCTCCCCGTCTCCCGTCCCTCCTCTCCCTCGCTCTCTTCTTGGTTCCCTGTGCTGCCTCCCTCTGCCCCTTCCCGCCTGCCCGCCCGCCTGCTTCGTCCCGCCGGCCTTGGCCTCCCGCCTGCGCGTTTGCCTTCGTCTGCTTGGTTCTCTGTCCCTCTCTCCCTCTCCGTCGCCGCGCAACACTGTGTGCCAGGAGCCGGCGTCGCCGCGTTCTGGTCCACAGCGGCTGCTTTCACCCGCGTGTGCGCCGTCGAGGTCCAGAGCGAGAGCGCCATCTAGAAAAGCAGCCGCCCTCCATCTTTGTAGCTGTTGAAGGTGTGGGGGGTGCCCGGGGGTGCCTGGGTGCCCGGTTGCCCGGGTGCCCGGGTGCCCGGGCGTGCCCGGGAGTGCCCGGGGGGGCCCAGGGGGGGCCCTATAGCCCTATAGCCCAATAGCCCTATAGCTGTTGACTGTACATGCTAATCTGTAGCCCCTTGGTCCAAGTAAAAACCATCGACATGGTAGCGGAGCGGCGTGGGTTCGTTCCCGCTGCCGCTTCCCTTCCAGCCACCCGCGGCGGGCGCGCGCGCCCGCGATAGGGCAGCGGCGGGGGCCGCGCCCTGGCGGCTGGCAGCGGCGAGGGCCGCGCCAGCCGGCCCTTCATAGCCCAGCACGCCGCCGAAGAAGAAGAAGACGAAGCGTGGCTCGAGGTCGAACAAGGCAGACATCCTGAGGAGTAGGAAGTTCGACGAGAAGCTCGATCTGAAGTATGGAAGAGATCGAGAGACGCTTCCAGGCGCTCGAGGGAGCGTTGCAGGCTGCAGAACAACGGGTGCAGGCTGCAGAGGAGCGCGCCCTGGCGGCGGAGTCAGCAGCAGCGAGCGCAGGCGCCGCCGCGAGCAGGCCCGTGGCAGCGGCGAGGGCCGCGCCTCAGGATCTGGTGGACACTCGGCTTCTGGCGAAGCCGAAGGCGTTCGGAGGCAACGAGGACGAGTGGCCAGGGTGGAGCTTCAAGATGCTCGCATACCTCGGAGCTCTCGACGAGCAGATGGCCAACGAGCTGACGGCGGCCATGACGTTCCCGCTGGAGGAAGTGAGGAACGCGAGACTCCTGGAGGAGGGAGCGAGTCAGCGCAGTCGCCAGCTGTACTTCATCCTCGTCCTGCTGCTGGAAGGAGCCGCACTACAGCTCATCAAGCCAGTCGGCGTCGGAGAAGGGTATCGGGCGTGGAGGACGTTGCAAGACATGTACGAGCCCGACAGACCAGGTCGCCATGCAGGACTGCTGCAAGAGCTGATCGCGTTCCAGTTCCCAGAGGACAACATCGTGGGGATGCTGGCGGACTTCGACTTCAAAGTCACGAAGTACGAGAGCCAGAGCCACGAGAGGATTGGGGACAGGATCAAGATGGCGATCCTTCAGCGGGGGATTCAGGACGAGGCTCTTCGAGCGCACCTGGTCCACAACGCGTCGAGGCTAGTCACGTGGGAGCTCATGCGCAACGAAGTGCACATGGTGATCTCGACGAGGAGCGCCATCTCAGCAGTGCCGCCACCAGTTCCGATGGACACGAGCGCGGTGGAGAAGGCGAGGCGCGAGGCGGCGTGGAAGGGCAAAGGAAAGAAGGGCAAGGAAGGCAAGGGCAGGAAGGGCAAGGGCGGCGACAACTCCACGGACCAGAAGAGCCAGGCGGCCAAGGACAGGGCCGAGAAACGATGCTTCCACTGCCACAAGACAGGTCACGTCAAGAGCGAGTGCAGGAAGTTCCTCGCAGAGCAGAAGAAGAAGGGCACCAACGCAGTCGAGCAGGAGTCGAAGCCGACGGGGGCTCCACCAGCGGCGAGCGCCGCGGGGAGCGCGGCGCCAGTGATGGCGATCGCAACCGAGAGCGGGGCAGAGCCATTGTGGTGCCTCGCGATCGAGCTGGGAGAAGGGCAAGAATCATCATCGAGTGGAGCAGCAGCGACGCCCTCAGCACCAGCAACGACAGCGATCCACCGTCGTTCGAGCGGGCCGTCAAACGAGCACGAGCAGCCGAGGCGGCCATCCTTGGTCGGAGCCAGCCCGATCGAGCGGCTGAGCCCGCCAGAGGCGTCAAACGAGCACGCGCAGCCGAGGCAGCCATTCTTGGTCGGGGCCAGCCCGATCGAGCAGCTGAGTCAGCCAGGGGCAGCAAACGAGCACGAGACGTTCGAGAGCAAGGAGATCATCGGTATCAATGAGCACTGGGTCATGGTGGATTCGGGTGCTGCGCGATCGGTGTGTCCGCCGAGTCACGGGGCCCACGAGACACTCAGAGACCTGAGCGAGCGCATCAGGCTGGTCGGAGCGAGCGGCGACGACATCCCGTGCCACGGCGAGCGCTTCGTCACGTACGCGAAGGGCGGGCACAAGATCGGGGTGGACTACAAGGTCGCCGACGTCAAGAGGCCGGTGCTGGGCGTGTCGCAGGCGGTCGACAAGGGCACGTCGTGGGTATTCACGCCGAGCGGGAGCTACATGATCCCGAAGCCGATCGAGTTCTCGGACCCAGACGCCGTGCCGCTGGTCAGACGCAACGACTTGTTCTACCTCAAGATGGACAGGTACGGTGAAGGCGTCAAGAACTCGCTCGTCATGCCGGTGCGGGGCGAGGAGCCAGGAGGCGAGCCTGGCGGCGCATCAGCTGCGTCCAGGGCAGCGGCGAGGGCCGCGCTCCAGGGCGGCGGCGGCGGAGGGGCTGCCGCGACTCGCGCTCAGGCCGAGGCGAGCGAGCCAGCAGCGCAGGCAGTGCTCGAGGAGTCCGTGCCAGTTCGAGTCAAGAAGGATCCAGTGAAGCCAAGCCTGGCCGAGCAGAGGACGCACGAGCTGGTGCACATCCCTGCGAGATCCTGGTGTTGGGTGTGCGTCAGATCCAAGTTCGCGGACGACCCGCACTACAAGGACGGGCACGAGCGCACAGGCGACGAGGTCCAGATCGACTACTACTTCCTGGGCCAGCTGAGCATCCTCAACATGGTGCATATGAACTCCCAGGCTATTCATGGCATCATGGGGCCGAAGGGTACCGACGCCTACATGGTCAAGACAGCGGTCGCCACCATCGAGAACTGGGGGCTGGATCGCATCGTGCTGAAGCACGACCAGGAGGCGTCGATCACGGCCCTGGCGAGGGAGATCAAGGCTCAGCGGAAGGCGCCCACGATGATCGAGTCGGCTCAGCGGGCTAACCATCAGGGAGTTGGTGGAGTGGAGCGCGCCAACGAGGAGCTCGGCAAGCAGATCAGGGCGCTACTGTTCTCGGTGGGTGACAACTACAAGCGGGAGCTCCCAGCCGAGCATGGGCTTCTGCCTTGGCTCATTCGGCACGCTGGCTGGCAGCTCAACCGCTTCACGGTGCACGGCAACGGCAAGACGACCTACGAGGTGCTCAAGGGGAGGCCGTATCGGGGCGAGCTCGTCAACTTCGCGGAGTGCGTTTGGGCGAGGGACCCCACGCCGACCTCCAAGCTGCAGCCTCGGTGGCGCGCGGCGGTGTGGCTGGGCAAGACAGAGGTTTCGGACGAGCACCTGGTGGCGGGTCCGACGCGCACAACGAGGGTGCGCACGGTGAGACGGCGACCGGAGGGCGAGCGGTTCATGCTGGAGGAGCTGGACAAGTTCGCTGGGGTGCCGTGGGACATGCACCGGGCTCCACAGATCGGCATTGTGCCGACGGGAGCGCCCCAGGTGGAGCCGAACCAGCAGCGGCTGCTGCCGCCACCTCCGCCACCGACAGTGGTCTTACCAGCCGCGGGCCCGGAGGCGCTGGTGCCACCAGCGATGGTCGGGCCGGCGCCGCCTACGGGGCCAGGAGGCGCAGGGCTGAGGTCGACGTACATCACGAGAGCGCTGATCGACAAGTACGGCTGGACCCCCATGTGCCCGAGGTGCGTCACAGGCATGGGATCGCACAGCGAGGAGTGCCGGAAGAGGATCGAGAACGAGCTGCGCAAGGAGGAAATGGCCAGGGCAGCGGCGGAGGCCGCGCCCTCGTCGGCAGCGGCGGGGGCTGCGCCGACGCCGGCGGCGGCGGGAGCCGCGCCGGGGCCAGCGGCTGGAGCTGGAGACGGCAGGCCAGGATCGTCCGGGGACGCCAGCATGGCACCTCGTGACGACCAGGGCGAGGCGTCGGCGAAGAGGCCGCGCCAGACAGCGGCGATCACAGTCGGGTCGCTCGCGGTCGGGGCCTTCGTGGAGATCAACCCCTGCACGTACGAGGGCCTGGACCAGCAGTCCCACGAGGAGCTCGAGACGGTCGCGGAAATCGAGAGCTGCGAGCCGTTGGAGATTGGGATGTTCGAGGTCAGCCCCGTCGAGCCGTCGGCGATCACGGTCCTGCCAGACACGGAGAAGCACGTGTACGACGCGAGGAGCGGGAAGGAGCTCCCCAGGGACCTGGTCAGGCGCGGGCGCGAGGCCGAGATCGAGGAGATGCGGCGACACGGCGTCTTCGAGGAGGTCCGCGTGGCCGAGAGCCGGGGCAAGGTGGTGCGTTTCAAGTGGGTCGAGGACCTGCGCACCAAGGACGGCACCCCCTTTGTCCGGTCCCGAGGCGTCGCCATGGAGATCAACACGTACGGCCGAGAGGACTGCAACGCGGGCACGCCGCCGATCGCCATCGTCAGGGCGATCGTCTCCTTGGCGGCTACGAAGAAGGGTCGGAGGCATCTCTCGGTGCATGACGTACACGTGGCGTTCTTCCACGCCGACCTCGACGAGTGGATCGTCGTCATCCCGCCTCCAGGACTTAGGAGAGACGGGTACGTGTGGCAGCTCCGGAAGGCCATGTACGGCACGCGCAAGGCGGCACAGGCTTGGCAGGAGTACGTGGCCGGGGTGTTCAAGAAGAACAACTGGACGCGCATCGCGGTGGCGGCGGGCGTGTACCACGAGCCTCTCTTGGACATGACCTCGGCGATCCACGGTGACGACATCTTGACCGAGGGCGAGGAGGAGTCCCTGGATGTCCTGGACCAGCAGCTGATGGCGAGCATGGACGTCAAGTGCATCGGTCGTGTCGGGCCGGATGGCGTCCGCGAGCTCCCGTACCTCAAGCGCAAGATCAGGTGGACGGGCAAGGGGTTCGTCTGGATCGGCGACACGAAGCACGTGACGAGGTGCGTGGAGCTGCTGGGCCTTACGGAGTGCAAGCCAGCGGACACGCCTGGGAGCAAGGCCACGGGCAAGAGCGTCCGGGAGGCGCTGGACCCACTTCCACACGACGAGGCGAAGCTCTACCAGCAGGTCGCGGGGCTCGTCAACTACGTGGCGGTAGACAGGCCAGACATCCAGTTCGCGGTGAAGGTGATCCTCACGGACATGGGGGAGCCCACAGTCATCAGCATGCTTAGGCTGAGGCGGTGCGTGCGGTATCTCCACGGTCGGCGCGAGCTCGGGTGGTTCTACGAGAGGCAGGAGATGCCCAGGGAGGTTCTCTACGAGACGGATTCGGACTGGGCAGAGGATGAGATCACGAGGAAATCGACCAGCTCCGTATACGGCTTCTTTGGCAGCCACCTTCTGGAGACCCAGGTGGCATCGCAGCCCGTCGTCGCGCTCAGCAGCGGAGAGGCCGAGTTCTACGCCATCGGCCGAGGCGCGGCGAGTGCGATCATGATGCGGCAGTTCTACCAGCAGCGTGGCATCGAGGTCGCGTCGAAGGTTCACAGCGACTCGAATGCAGGCAGGGCGATCGCGACACGGATCGGCAGTGGTAAAGTACGGCATCTACAGATACGAGACCTGTGGGTGCAGGAACGAGTCAGGCTCGGCGAGTTACAGCTCGGGCGAGTCGACACGGAGAGCAACAGGAGCGACTTGGGGACCAAGCATCTGGACGGCAAGCGGGTGCTCAAGTTGCTGGAGATGTCCAACCTGCGGCTTCTGACCAAGGGGCTCGCCGCAGGTGTGGGCGTCACTTTCGCAGAGGCGGCCGAGCATGGAGACAAGCAGTGCTCCGCAGCCGCCGACGACGAGGTCGAGTCGAACATCGGCTCGATCGTTTTCGCCATGATCATGTTCATCATCGTGCTGGTGCTCGTGGTCAAGGGCGCAGTTGTGTGCACGAGAGGGGCGGTGCAGCTCTTCTCATCGAGGGCGGCGAGTGCTGCCCCACCAGCGGGAGCGGCGAGGGCTGCCCCGCGGGCCGACGGCACGGCGAGGCCCGAGGCGGCGTCGAAGGACGCGCCTGAGGGGCATGTCGTTTCTCGGGCGGCGGCTATAGCTGCGCCTGAGCGGGTCGCCGAAGGGCGAGACCTCGGTACGGAGTACCTCGGGAAGATGCTGGCTGAGGCCACCGTGGCAGAGCTCAAGGAGGAGCTCAGGTGGCGGAAGCTGCCAGTGGGCGGCTTGAAGGCGGACCTCATCGTCCGTCTGACGAGGGACGGCGGCCAGCACATGGCCAGCAGTGAGGGGCTGGCTGCAGCGGCATGGGCCGCGCGGCTGGTTCCAGGCAGGATGCCTATCCGAGCGTTCCGCTCGGATGCGAGTTTAGGCTCGCACCTAGGCGCGCTTCTCAGCAGCACGGGGTAGGTCCGTGCCGAATGCAAGACCCTTTGAGGGCCACCCAAGACGGGTGAGGGCGCGGCCAGAGGCCGCTCCTTTGAGCCGAGGGCGCGCGTCAGGCGCAGGCGCGCGGAGCCACGGCGGGGACGCCCGCTTTGGCTTGAGCTTGAGCCTTCAGAAGGGAGGCTCGAGCCGCAGTACAGAGAAGATGCAAGGCGATGCGCTCGCCTGCATCTTGGAGGCGTGTTGACTGTACATGCTAATCTGTAGCCCCTTGGTCCAAGTAAAAACCATCGACAATAGCCCTACAACTCTCTAGCCCTATAGCCCTATAGCTCAATAGCCCTATAGCCCTATAGCACCCTACCCTAAAGCCCTTATTGTTTTTTTTTTGTCTGGTATCATTTTCAAGTTGTGGGGATGGTGTGAGGAGGAGGAGGAGGAGGAGGAGGAGGAGGAGGAGGAGGAGGAGGAGGAGGAGGAGGAGGAGGAGGAGGAGGAGGAGGAGGAGGAGGAGGAGGTGGAGGAGGAGGAGGACCATCCCTTGCTCCCCTGCCTCTGTCCGCGTGGACGGGCTAGCCAGCAGAAGGACTACGCCCGCACCCAGAACCTCATCACTTTTGATAAGGTGTACAGCCAGGGGAACCTCAACACGCTCCCTATCGACCTCACGCTGCCGCCCCCGCAGCCACCGGCTCCTGTGCCCTACTTGGCCGTGAAGATGCTGCCGAGTTGGGACCCGAGCATGGGCCCGCCGGACACCGCGATGCCCAGGGGCTTCAAGCAGGCCTTTGAGTGGTTCTGCAAGGCTTCGCTCCTCATCCGCTCGGAGGTCTGCGCCGCGCTGCTGGTGACCCGCAAGATGTGCCTGGACCTGAAGTCCGAGCGCGCTTTCGAGACCAGCTTCACGTCGCCGATGCGGCTGCAGGAGCCGGGTGAGGGGAGTGGGTCGGCCACGCGCAGATGGAGCTAGTATGGGGTGGCGGCCTCCGAAGGAGGGCAGGAGCCTCTTAGATGGGCTTGGAGTTTTCGAGCCAGGCTTCCCAGAAAGCGAGAGCACTTCATAGAGGTAACCTGCCTTCTCAGGATGCTTCAAAGGGCAACGCCAGGGGGGGATAAGGGGGGATGCCTCGACCCCCAGTCGCCCGTTTTTGGCCGATCGGGACCCGAGAACCCACCTCGCCCAGGAACGTGTGGATTCTCTCTCTCTCTCTCTCGGGAGCCTATCGCCGATCTATCGGCCGTGCATCGCCGATTTCCAGCTCGAGTATGCCCCTCCCCCCCCGCTTCCCCGCTCCGCTCCTTCCCCGAGCCCGTCCCCGCCCATCGCTGCCCCCTCCGCACCCCGCATCGTTGCCCTCGCCGCCCCCCCCCCCCCTCTCCGCGCCCCCCCCCCTCCCCCTCCTCCTCCTCCTCCTCCCCTCCTCTCCTCCTCTCCCCCTCCTCCCTCCTCCTCCTCCTCCTCCTCCTCCTCCTCCCCCTCCTCCTCCTCCTCCTCCTCGTCCTCCTCCTCCTCCTCCCTCCTCCTCCTCCTCCTCCCCCTTCGCGCCGCGTCGAGCGGCGGGCAGGGGGGCCCTTCGGAGGCCCGTGCTCCCGCCCGGAGCGCCCGCGCCTGGGCGGCCCAGGCCCGCCCCCGGAGGCCCGACCCGCCCCCCAGAAGCCGCCCTCCTCAGGCCCCTCCCCCTCCCTCTTCCCTCCTCCTCTTCCTCCTCCTCCTCCTCCTCCTCCTCCTCCTCCTCCTCCTCCTCCTCCTCCTCCCCCTCCCTCTTCCCTCCTCCATCTTCCCTCCTCTTCCTCCTCCTCCTCCTCCTCCTCCTCTTTCCTGTCGTTCCTCCTCCGTGAGCCTGCGATGCTCGTGGGCAGTGGCGTGGCGGCGGATGGTGGCCACGGCATCCTCGAGCAGCTCAGGGCCGTCGGCCGCACGCGGAGTCCCTGCGCCGAGAAACCGTCGCGCGCCCCCGAGGAGTTCTCGGAGCGCCAGGAGGCCGCCGTGATGCGCCTGAAGGGGCGCCTGGGCATGTGGGTCAACACCATCCGCATGCGCGTCACGCAGTGCCTGCAGAAGGCTCGGGTCGGGCGAAAGGGGGGGTTTGGGAAAGGGGGGGTTACGAAATCTGCTGCATGCAGCTGGTTTCGGCCCGACCGAGGGGCCCATTCCTCGATACATGGGCGCCTCCCGGCGCCGGGAGGCGCCGGGAAAATCAGCTACATGAGCTGATTCTCAACCCCCCCCCTTTGCTATCCCCCCCTTTTGCCCGACCCGAAAGGCCACCGTGAAGTGGTTCCACCTCAACGAGACCTCGCTGGAGGCGTACCGTGCGAGCCGGCTGCGGCCGCTGCTCGTGTGCGCCAGGCCCCGCGGCGTTCGCGCCGCACCCACCCGAGCAGAGGGGGCTAAGGGGATATGCGGGGTGGGGAGAGGGTGGTCTCAGTTTGGGCCGCTGCTAGGCGAGCTGCCGAAGAGATCGCCGGACAGGTGGCGAATATCGTAGGCAATGCACAGGGGGTGGCGGACGTGATGGAGGACGAGGAGGGGGACGACGGGGACGGGGAGGAGGGAGATGGGGGAGGGGCAGGGGGACAACGATGAGGGGAAGTTTTAAGCCTCGCGGCGGGGGGGAGAGGAGAAAGGCAAGCTGGGTGCGTTCGCGCAATACCTGAAATCCTGCCCCTCCCACCCATTTCTTTCCATAGCGCAGATTTTTCTCTTCGCGCCGACGGGTGTGATAGTGGTAGTGGACATGGAACCCCATTCATGAAACCATCGTGTTATGCGCAATCGGGAAGGGGAGCTGTGTGCATAGGGGAAGTAGGAGGAGGTGGCGGACGCGGAGGAAGATGGGCGGGAGGAATCGGAGGATGAGGACGGAAGTGGAGGAGGAGGAGGAGGAGGAGGAGGAGGAGGAGGAGGAGGAGCAGGAGCAGGAACAGCAGCGGGAGGAGCAAGAGGAGCGGGAGTAACAGAAGGACTCGGAGTAGGGGGGGATCCAGAAATGTGGCCTGCGCTGGGGCGATAATGCCATTCTGAACGACGGGGGCGAAGCGCCGATCCTCAATTGAGGCCAACGCTGCAGTGGGAGCGCCATTCCAGTATCAAACGCGCTGTGACATAACAAGTCATATGGAGCATCAATTTTGGAACTCCTAGGCTTGCACAATGATATGTGGGAGAAATGGACATCGATCGCACAATATCTGGAGAGAGAGAGAGAGCAGAGTATTCAGATCGAGTGGTGCATGCACAGTGGAGAAGGAGAGCGAAGGAGAGCGGCGATATGCCAGAGGGTTGAGGGAGAGGATAAAAAGGGGAGAGTAGGGAGAGGAGGGATGGACAGAAGAGCGAGGAGAGAGAGAGAGAGAGAGAGAGGGATAGAGATAGAGAAAGAGATGGAGAGAACGAGAGAGAGAGAGAGAGAGAGACAGGATAGGGGAGAGGAGAGAGCATACAAACTACGAGCGAACAGAGAGGATCGAGTTGAGAACTGATAAGAAGGGATGGGAGAGGAAGCGCAGGGATTCGACCTTCTCGACTCTGACTTGCAGTTCCTTGTGTGAAGCCTGGGGATGTGACTCTGCTCATGTGGGCCGTGTGTTCTGACGTGGAGGCCAGGGTGGCTTGGCCCCCCTGGACAGGCTGATGATGTCCAACGCGTTCCTGCTGCTCGGGGAGGAGAGCTTGAAGAGCTACGTAGGCGCGACGAAGCCCTTCCTGGCTTCCCCTCGTCCCTCTCTTCACCTGCCCTGTCACCGTCCCCCTCCTCCCCCCCTGCCTCCCCGTTTCCCTCCCTCTTCAATTCCCAACCCCCTTCCCCTTCCTCTGCCTCGTCCGCGCTCACCTCTCCCTCGTCCTCTTGTCCTTAGCTTTGTCCAGTTTCTTACGCCGCTTTTCCAGGGCAGGCGCAGTGACCACGTCGTATTCTGGTATTATCGTAAGAGTGCTGCTCTGCGGGCCCAAAGCTTTGGACAAGGTTAGCATTTTTCTGACTTTTTTACCCGAGCGACCTGCAGTGCCTTCTTCACAGTGACTCTATTATCCCACTCCGTTTTCGATTGAAAGACTGCGAGTGGTGCCGTAGGGCTCGAGGTCGAAAGTGGCCGGGCAGTCAATGAACATTCCACGTTTACGTCGCGACGCAGTTCAAGCTAACAGTATCATAATGCTGATATAGGGTTGGGGAGAGTCACTTGCCCCACCATCGTATGTTGAATAACAAGAAATTCTTACATTGAGCTCTGCGTATGAATGTGAGCTCAATAATCATGACAAAGGAGCGTCGTTTCCGAGCCTATCGAAATAGTCGGTTCCGCGCGAAGTCAAGTGGATCTACTCTACGTCCAAGCGAGGGCCCCATGCATTCGCACCGGTCGAGGAATTGCGAGCTTGCGGCCGTCGACCAAGATCGGCTGTTGGCGTCTAAATGAAGGGCCGACCAGGCGCTGATTTCTTATGGTGTGGGTAAATATTTCAGCTCCTGCTTTGGCGCCGCTTAAACGCTCTGCTTGACGCCTCGAGTGACACCACGGGTACAGTCAGAGACGGAAAGATTGACCACTGGCGCTTGCATGCTTGTCTGTCCGAATATTGACTTTGATTCCAAGCCAGGCAGGATCCATGCTCAGGGACCCTGTCACCGCTCTTGTGAATGAGTATTCGATTTGCCCAGCGTATGTTTGTACAGAGACGCTGCTGGAAGAGCAGGGCCGATGGACTTGCAACAAGTTTTATTCTACCATCAGCCAGTAGGTCAGACGGATTTTCTGTTCTGCTGGATGTCTTGTTCAGCGTTGGACTTCAACATGCCGTTGGTTTCTCTCGGTGCTCCGCCGTGAGCCGTTTGTTTTGCGTAACGCAGTAAGGCTTAGCTTGCAAACCGAACTGGAGTGCTGGTCAGCTGTTCGATTTCGGCTGTGCCGAGTTTTATGTGGAGTTTGACAAATCGCAGCTTCACGGAGGGTGCTTACGTTGTAGTACACACCGTCACTCTTATCCGGGTATAGGAATGAGTTGAGTGATCCAGTGTTGCTTTGTTCAGTCGCATCTTGATTGAGGGCATCTGAGCAGTGCCGTATCAGCCTTTCTGTTTAACGAAGGAAAGATACCAGAGAAAGAGCAGACATTGCGGCTTGACTCAGATATAATGTTTGCAGTGTCGGGGGCTTGGTCGCAAAAGACAGATGGTATCTTGGAATTGCACCGTCGGGGGAAGACAGGCATGACCAGTTGTTGTTGTGCGATGGTTCTGGCTTAGGAGGGGAAGTGCTCTTTCAGAGAGGGTCTTGCACATACTCAGCAGCTTGGAGGTATTCTACACGTGTTTCTGGTCATGAGTCATATTATACCCTGAGGTTTTCGTTTCCGTTTATCTTACTGCATTCGTGAGCTGTCGATATAGTCTTCCGGATGGGCGGAAGCTTAATCACGAGGATTTTGTTTTTTGTGGGCCTCAGAGGGCAGACAAGGGTCCGGGAGGGGATGGGGAGGTGAAGGGAAAGGGATGGGTGGGGTGGGGAGCGGGGAGGGATAGGGGAGAGGATGTATGGGGATCTGGTGGAGGGGACATGGGGTGAGAGGATCGGAGGGCACGGGAGGATGTGCGGCCTCCTCGGCTCCTGGCCAGAAGGATCCAGGGTGAGGTGGGGTGGGGGGCGGGGGCGCTCGTGGGCGCGGCCGCGGGGCGCGCAAGGCGCGATCGAGGCGCTCGCGCCCGTCCGCCTGGAGATGCCCGAGGGCAGCGGCGCCCTCACCGCCCTGCGCAACATCGTCGCGGACCCGAAGGCCCCAGCGCCGCATCGGGGATGCGGCACGATACGCTCACCATCGACGCCATGTTATCCGATCGTCCAGTGAGTGCGTACTGCACTCACTCTTGCTCTCGGAACCGCGCAGCAGTGGGCTCGAGTCGGGGAGGGCGAGGCTGCGAATTCTGCCCGAGGCCAGGCTTGTCTGACAGTTTCCCGGCTGCTAGCTCAGGGCGTTCTCTGGTGTCTGTCTTGCATTCCACTGCACGCCGGGCTCCCCAGGTGTCCGCTCCTCCTCCTCTGTTGGCTTCGTGCATGCCCTCCGCCCCCCCCAGCGCCGAGCGCTGTGTGAGGATAGATCGGGCTGGAGTTCCTTGTAAGGCATGTGATTAGCGAGCGTGGACCCCAACCAGTGTGCTTCTGGCAAGATGTGTTGTGCAGTCGATGTGGAGCAATCTATGTGGTGCAACCTATGCTGTGCGATCTGTGTTGTTGTCCAGTCTATGTTGTGCAGCCGATGTTGTGCAGTATGTGTGGTGCGATAGTGAGGTACAATGTCTACTGGCCTTCGCCCGTCCCGCCTCCGTGCCTGGGTTGTGGGCCGTCGGCCTCGTTGGGATGTTCGTTGGGATGTCGCGGGAGGCCTCTCGAGGGTCTCTTGGGGGCCGTTTCGAAGCCTTTTGGGGGCCGTTTTTCCTCTTGGGGGCCTCTTGGTTCCTGTTGGGGGCCTCTTGGGGAGGAAGATTCGGATTTTTGGTTCGTGTTCTCCATCTTGGGCCCTTCTTGGGGCTGTCTTTGCGCCCTCTTGGGCCGTCTTGGGCGCCTCGAGGGCTGCCTTGGAGCCTTCTTGGGCCGTGTGCCTCTTGGTCCCCCTTGGGGCGATCCTGGGAGCCTCTTGGGCTTCTCTTCCTCCTCCTCCTCCTCCTCCTCCTCCTTGTTTTCCTCCATCTCGCACCCTCGCCTCCCCTCCCTATATTCTCCTCTTCCGTCCTGCCTCCTCCTTTTCCGTCTTCTTCCTCACCACCTTCCTCCTGTCCGTCCCCCTCATTATCCCTCTCTCCCCGCTCCATTTTCCCCATCGTTATCCTCAACTCTTTGTCCTCGTCTTCTCCGCCTCCGTCCTTCCTTCGTCTTGTCCTCTTGCTCCTCCTCCTCCTCCTCCTGCTGCTCTGTAACTCCTCTTCCTCCTCCTCCTCCTCCTCCTCCTCCTCCTCCTCCTCCTCTTCGATGACTTTTCTTATGCGCAGATCCTCCCTGTCGCACCCCCAGGCGTGCCGGTAGGGCGGGCCGTGCGTTTCGCTCGGGGGCGCCCTCACTGTTCATGGTCCTGAAACTCGAACGTTGCAGCCGTTTCGAGGAAGGAGGGCGGCCTCCCCTCCTCCCTCCCTCCCTCCTCCCTCCTCCTCCTCCCTCCTCCCTCCTCCCTCCTCCTCCTCCTCCTCCTCTCCTCCTCCTCCTCCTCCTCCTCCTCCTCCCCCTCCTCCTCCTCCTCCTCCTCCTCCTCCTCCTCCTCCTCCTCCTCCTCCCTCCTCCCTCCTCCCGCTTCAGCGCCGCGCGCATTCGTCTTCACAGTTCGCAGCGGCTTCAAGGACGGAGAGCGGTTCCTTTTCCACATGTGGCTTTCGCTTCAGCGCCGCGCGCATTTGCCAAACTAGCTTACAGCAGTTTCGAACATGGAAGGGGGTCCCTTTTCAAATGTGGCTTTCGCCTTGGCGCCGCGCTCATTCGTGGTAACAGATTGCAGCAGTTACAAGGATTCGCAGGGTTGATGTCTAAAACATGGTGTTCGCGCGATTGAGCGTTCTCAGACGGTTGTCTTTCAATGGGACATTTCCCGAAATGAGCATCAGTTCTTGTAGGGATTTTTGGAAGAGAGGATTTCTTGATGCTTCGAGTATCCCCATCAGCTCATCTGAAACTGACGCCCAGGCGTGTTGAAACAAGCATGGAAGCGTAGGAGCAACATGGAAGGTCGTTATCGTTGAGGTTGAGGAGGAGGAGAAGGAGGAGGAGGAGGAGGAGGAGGAGGAGGAGTAGGAGGAGGAGAGGAGGAGGAGGAGGAGGAGGAGGAGGAGGAGGAGGAGGAGGAGGAGGAGGAAGAGGGATGGTGGATGAGGGAGAAGGACGACAATTTTGTGGACGAGGAGGAGCATGAGCAGGAGGAGGAGGAGGAGGAGGAGGAGGAGGAGGAGGAGGAGGAGGAGGATGAGGGAAGAGGAGGAGGCGGAGGAGGAACAGTGTGATATTGAGTGTCTGTCTGTGTGTGTGTGTGTGCATGACACAGAGAGTGCGCACTGACTCGTCTGACGCCTCCCCCTCGGCTCGGCGGGGCAGGGCAGGGAGGAGCCCCAGCTCCCGCTCCGCCTCTCGCGAGCCCTCCCGCATATGCTCCTGCGACTGGAGTGGAGGTGCTCCCTCCGGAAAGTCCTGCCAGTGGGCGTTCCGGGAGGAGGCGCAGCCCCAGCAACTCCCCTCAGCCAGCGGTCAGCGGGCCTCCCTCCACCAGCCCCGTTCGAACTGAGGCCCCACCGGCAGCGCAGAGCCCCATTCCAGCGCCTCGCCGAGTTCAGAGGATGAGCCGGTGCGCAAAACCCCCAGGACCAGCGAACAGTGCAGCCCAGGCGCACCCCAAAGGTGGCGCGGCCGAGGCGCAGCGGAGACCACCCCGCCCTGGAGACGGGAGGCGGCACCACGTCACCCGCCCCCCTTCGCACCGCCCACGCCTCAGTCGGACAGCAATGACGTGCTCCACAACAAGCCGAAGCACCAGGTTACCTGGTACCCTACCTGGAACCACCGAGACCACGCAAGGGAGGACGGGAGAGCGGTGATCAACCGCCTCAAGAAAGAATGTGGCCCCACGCTCCATCGGGTGGAACGCCATCTGTGACCAAGAGTCTTGACCCCACTCCGCCAAAGACCCGCAGCGTCGCAACCTTGAATTCTGCTAAGGTGTCTCGCACGACCTCAGCGAGGTCAACTACGACGTGCGCAGACCTTGCTGGAACAAAGGCGTACATGTCGATTGGAACGCTGAATGGTATCGCGAAGTTGACAAGCGGAGGCAGAACTCTGACCTCGCGATAGGCAAAAGGGAGTGGTTCTCCGCCGCACGGGAAGGGGAAACGGCCAGCGGACTCCTCGTGGCCCAGCAACGACTCGTCCCGTCAGCGCGGGTCAGCTGACAGCAGACACCGCTGGTAGCTTTCAGCAGCCGCCCTGCGACCTTGTCCTGTACTGAGCGTGACACCCCCGCCCTGGCAGTGGCCTCTCTGGCCGCTGCCCTCCCCTCCCTGCCCTCGCGGCTTTCTCACATCGTGCACCTATTCGGTGCCTCCCCGCAGGCCCCCAGCCCTTGCTCGGGGCCTGCCCGCCGCCCTCTCCTCCCTGCCCTCGCGGCTGCCTCCCATCGTGCACCTGTTCGGTGCCCCCCCCGCAAGCCTCTTGCCGCTCGGGGCTTGGCTTCCTCTCGCGCCCATGCGCGGGGCCCGCCCGCGCCTGAACCCGCGTTCGGCCGGTTCCCATCGCGGCCGCTCTTTCCCGGTTGGCCCCGTCATTGCTGGCTGGTCTTGCCGCCCGCTCGTGACCTACGGGCCGCCCCTCCTGCCCACCTTGGGGTGCCCTGCCCCGCCGCCGCCCCCTGCCTCGTGGGGCGCCGGCCGTCAGCAGGTTTTGTCCAGGCCCTGCCTGCGGCGCCCCGCTGGCCCTTGCCGCGCTTCGCCGGCCGGGCGGCGCTCGCTTCGGTGCCTGTGCCCCCCTCCTCTGCCTGGTTTTCTGGCCACCTCCCCAGCGCCGGCTACCGGTGTCTGGCCGCTGTCGCTCCTTTGTCACTTCGCTCGCGCGGGTGCTCCTCAGTTGGCTCTCTGCCTCTGGGTTCATCCTCTCGTTTTCGTGGTTTGCCGCCCTCCACTGGGCGCGGCCTTCCCGCCCGCCGCCAGCTGGCGTCTGGGTTCGGCGCTCGCCCCCCTTGTTCTGCCCTCCTGGGCCCGCCGCTCCCCCACTTGGCGGTGCCTTGGCCCCTTGCCCCGGGTGCCGCACCGCGCCGTGCTATGCCGCCCGTCTTCGCGATTTCCCTGCTCTGCCTGGTTTCGGCGCTCCCCACCGTTGCCGATGTCGGTGTTCCCTCCCGTCGGTGCGGGTCGAGTTTCTGGCCGCTCGTTTCTCCTGCCGTCCCGCCGCCTTTTCTCGGCCGTTCACGTTCCGCTCTTCCTGGGCGATGCCTCCCCGGCCATCGCCCCCGCGCCCGCGTCTCGCAGGCCCACGGGTCTCGGCGCTTCGCTTCTCTCTGGGCCGTGCCTTGGTTCGCTGGGTTGGGTGCCGCCTTCTCGGGTGCCCCTCCTCTGCCCGGCTCCGAGCTGCTCGGCACGGCTTCTGCCACTTCGTGCTCTGTGCCGCCCAGCGCCCCCTTTGTGCCCGCGGCGCAGCGCCTGCTGCCGAGGCTGGCCCGCTTGTCCTCCGCCCGTTCCTTGCGCGCACCTCGCGGGCCTGCTGGTCTCGGTGCTCTGGCCTCTCCTGGGACTGTGCTCGGTCCAATGGGTTGGGCTCCGCTTCGTTTTCTCATCACCGCCAGCTGCAGCTCCTGGCTGCCCCCCCCCATCTTCAGCTCAGTGCAGTTCAGTGCCTATGCTGGCGCTGTCCTCCCCCCGGCGCCCCCCCTGCCGCTGACGGCAGCTCTGAGTACCCCGGCTTCCTCCCTCCCCGTCGCGCCGGGGCTCTTCCTCTTCCCTCCGTGCGTTGCGGCCCTAATTTGCGTGCAGCGTGTCCCTTGTTGCCTTTCCGCCAGAGCAGTCGACCTCTGCCCAGCCGCCGACGCAAAAAAGTGTGTGCATGACACGTACGTGCGCCACTCGCTGCCGTTTGACCCTCAAGGGCCCCGTTGTGCCAAGGCGCCAAAAGCATCATGAATCACACTGGCAGCGGAGCCTGCTATGCGGTCTTCGTTGACAAGATCTTACATCTATGACGGTAGTGTGAACAACTTCCATGAATGAGAACTCCGCGCAGAGATGCGCATGAGTGCTGCCTTGGCCTCCGTTG